GCCTGCTTCACTGCTGGCTCTCGTTAGTGAGTTGGCCTCTCTCTCTCTCTCTCTCTCTCTCTCTCTCTCTCTCTCTCTCTCTCTCTTTCTCTCTTCCTACTCTTCTTCCCTGTCTGACTAATTTGGCTGGTGACTTTCGGTGTGGTTGATGTATTCGCTGTATGATATCAGTGGTTTTCCCAGGGTAGATTGGGAGTCCACAGTCACTTTTAGGCGCGCTCACATGTGTGAAATCACCATGTCTTGCTCTTCATACCTGACTACCTGTATCGGAATGCCTATCAGGCTATATTACCCACAGTGCTGCCGTGTTCATCCCGGGAACAGCAGAGCACCACTTAGCGAGCTATTTGCTCTTCTATTGATTTTAGTTTTATGAGTGGCGTGTTTTTTGGAAAGCTCTCTGATATCGAAAATATCCTCGTATTAAAGTCGTAAGTAGAGCGCAACCATTTGATATCTTTATTCAAATATTTAATCCTTAGAGTGCCCTTGATTCGACTGAGCTTAATTGCTGGCTTTTGAGTGGAGGTTTATTATGTGCTGATTTCTATGCTTTGTCTGCTTTTATGAATTAATTTTTTATGGCCTTTTTGTCTTATCGGGCACTGGTGGCCTCTGTAACTTTTTTTGCAGCTGCATGCTCTGAGAAAGCTACCTGGGGAATGCTGCTGTTCCCAGCCGCGTTAACGCTGGCTGATTTCCTGGCTGATTTCCTGGGCGCACTTGATACAAAATGTTAGCTGTATGTATCTTTGAACAATATTATTTAAATAATTTACTATAAACAGGCTGTGGTGTCCATGCACAGTGTACGGATGGAGCGATCGCCAGGGGTGAGTGGCGTTTTGGTGGAGGGGTGGTGATTCCCACTTGTAGTGGAAACTTTTGCTAGTGTTCAGCTGTATGATATGTTTGTAAATGCCGGTGCTGGTGGTACCGTTGTGCGGAGTAGTTTCTCCGTCTGCTAGTACTGTACCATAATTACTAATCAGTCAATTGCATGATTGTTACCGAGCACTTCACTCCTAGTTACCGTGCTTCAACATTAGCCAGAGACAGATTGCAATTTGGTTCACTGCATTGGCATTCAGCTAGAATCTGTACATTCCAGGACCCCTAGCGGTTCCTCAGATGTGTAACTCAAAGTAACAGGGTTGGTATGCACATCCATGTACATGTACATGACTGTGTGCTGGTTTCAAGCAATGTGTACTGCACGTGTGTGTCTTCTATACATCCATGTACATGTACATGTACATGGATGTACATGTACAACACACATACATGTACATGTACATGTATGTGTGTTGGCTGCCAGCAATGTGTACTGCACGTGTGTCTTCTGGACTTCCTCAGTCTTTCACTGTGTTGCACCGGCTGCCGGTAGTTTGTTTCGTGTATGGCTGCGTGTGTTACATGTACCGGTACGGTGTACTCAGTAAATGAGATACTACAAGAAGTATCGTACATTCCCCGTCTGGTGGGTGGGTGCTGCTGTTGTTGCTGGTGCGGGTGCTGCTGGGCATGGCACGAAAGACCGTGTACATAATTGGTGTTGCTCAGCTGTGCAGGGAAGTTGCATGTGTGTGTGTGTGTGTGTGTGTGTGTGTGTGTGTGTGTGTGTGTCCAGACAGTAGTGCCATGCCAGACCTGACAAGGTGTAGACAGGATGTGGTCCTGGTTCGAGGCAGTCAGCCATGCTTGCTTCCATGTAGGTTGACTTGCGCCAGACGTGCGTTGAGCAAGCCACTGCCCGACCTCCATCCCTGTTTGGCTGTAGTACATCGGATAGCCGGTTGAGATAGTAGCAGATTGAAATTTGATGATCAAGTGAGATGTAGCCAGCTTGCTTGAGATACTGGTAACATATACCTTTCAGGATCTATGGTCAAAGCCAATTGGCTTTCTAATGGTTCTTTCAGGAAGCTGTTGGGCTATCGTTAAAATTATTTTCTAATGACATGGTGTGTACTTATCATGACACAGCAATGCCCAGCAACATGATCCCTATGGCCAATTTCTCCTAACGTTATAATATTGGAGAATGGTGCAGCTACAGTTCTGGGAATTCCCATGGCTACCCGTGCTCTGGCTCTCGTTAGTGAGTTGGCCTCTCTCTCTCTCTCTCTCTCTCTCTCTCTCTCTCTCTCTCTCTCTCTCTCTCTCTCTCTCTCTCTCTCTCTCTCTCTCTCTCTCTCTTTCTCTCTTCCTACTCTTCTTCCCTGTCTGACTAATTTGGCTGGTGACTTTCGGTGTGGTTGATGTATTCGCTGTATGATATCAGTGGTTTTCCCAGGGTAGATTGGGAGTCCACAGTCACTTTTAGGCGCGCTCACATGTGTGAAATCACCATGTCTTGCTCTTCATACCTGACTACCTGTATCGGAATGCCTATCAGGCTATATTACCCACAGTGCTGCCGTGTTCATCCCGGGAACAGCAGAGCACCACTTAGCGAGCTATTTGCTCTTCTATTGATTTTAGTTTTATGAGTGGCGTGTTTTTTGGAAAGCTCTCTGATATCGAAAATATCCTCGTATTAAAGTCGTAAGTAGAGCGCAACCATTTGATATCTTTATTCAAATATTTAATCCTTAGAGTGCCCTTGATTCGACTGAGCTTAATTGCTGGCTTTTGAGTGGAGGTTTATTATGTGCTGATTTCTATGCTTTGTCTGCTTTTATGAATTAATTTTTTATGGCCTTTTTGTCTTATCGGGCACTGGTGGCCTCTGTAACTTTTTTTGCAGCTGCATGCTCTGAGAAAGCTACCTGGGGAATGCTGCTGTTCCCAGCCGCGTTAACGCTGGCTGATTTCCTGGCTGATTTCCTGGGCGCACTTGATACAAAATGTTAGCTGTATGTATCTTTGAACAATATTATTTAAATAATTTACTATAAACAGGCTGTGGTGTCCATGCACAGTGTACGGATGGAGCGATCGCCAGGGGTGAGTGGCGTTTTGGTGGAGGGGTGGTGATTCCCACTTGTAGTGGAAACTTTTGCTAGTGTTCAGCTGTATGATATGTTTGTAAATGCCGGTGCTGGTGGTACCGTTGTGCGGAGTAGTTTCTCCGTCTGCTAGTACTGTACCATAATTACTAATCAGTCAATTGCATGATTGTTACCGAGCACTTCACTCCTAGTTACCGTGCTTCAACATTAGCCAGAGACAGATTGCAATTTGGTTCACTGCATTGGCATTCAGCTAGAATCTGTACATTCCAGGACCCCTAGCGGTTCCTCAGATGTGTAACTCAAAGTAACAGGGTTGGTATGCACATCCATGTACATGTACATGACTGTGTGCTGGTTTCAAGCAATGTGTACTGCACGTGTGTGTCTTCTATACATCCATGTACATGTACATGTACATGGATGTACATGTACAACACACATACATGTACATGTACATGTATGTGTGTTGGCTGCCAGCAATGTGTACTGCACGTGTGTCTTCTGGACTTCCTCAGTCTTTCACTGTGTTGCACCGGCTGCCGGTAGTTTGTTTCGTGTATGGCTGCGTGTGTTACATGTACCGGTACGGTGTACTCAGTAAATGAGATACTACAAGAAGTATCGTACATTCCCCGTCTGGTGGGTGGGTGCTGCTGTTGTTGCTGGTGCGGGTGCTGCTGGGCATGGCACGAAAGACCGTGTACATAATTGGTGTTGCTCAGCTGTGCAGGGAAGTTGCATGTGTGTGTGTGTGTGTGTGTGTGTGTGTGTGTGTGTGTGTGTGTGTGTGTGTGTGTGTGTCCAGACAGTAGTGCCATGCCAGACCTGACAAGGTGTAGACAGGATGTGGTCCTGGTTCGAGGCAGTCAGCCATGCTTGCTTCCATGTAGGTTGACTTGCGCCAGACGTGCGTTGAGCAAGCCACTGCCCGACCTCCATCCCTGTTTGGCTGTAGTACATCGGATAGCCGGTTGAGATAGTAGCAGATTGAAATTTGATGATCAAGTGAGATGTAGCCAGCTTGCTTGAGATACTGGTAACATATACCTTTCAGGATCTATGGTCAAAGCCAATTGGCTTTCTAATGGTTCTTTCAGGAAGCTGTTGGGCTATCGTTAAAATTATTTTCTAATGACATGGTGTGTACTTATCATGACACAGCAATGCCCAGCAACATGATCCCTATGGCCAATTTCTCCTAACGTTATAATATTGGAGAATGGTGCAGCTACAGTTCTGGGAATTCCCATGGCTACCCGTGCTCTGGCTCTCGTTAGTGAGTTGGCCTCTCTCTCTCTCTCTCTCTCTCTCTCTCTCTCTCTCTCTCTCTCTCTCTCTCTCTCTCTCTCTCTCTCTCTCTCTTTCTCTCTTCCTACTCTTCTTCCCTGTCTGACTAATTTGGCTGGTGACTTTCGGTGTGGTTGATGTATTCGCTGTATGATATCAGTGGTTTTCCCAGGGTAGATTGGGAGTCCACAGTCACTTTTAGGCGCGCTCACATGTGTGAAATCACCATGTCTTGCTCTTCATACCTGACTACCTGTATCGGAATGCCTATCAGGCTATATTACCCACAGTGCTGCCGTGTTCATCCCGGGAACAGCAGAGCACCACTTAGCGAGCTATTTGCTCTTCTATTGATTTTAGTTTTATGAGTGGCGTGTTTTTTGGAAAGCTCTCTGATATCGAAAATATCCTCGTATTAAAGTCGTAAGTAGAGCGCAACCATTTGATATCTTTATTCAAATATTTAATCCTTAGAGTGCCCTTGATTCGACTGAGCTTAATTGCTGGCTTTTGAGTGGAGGTTTATTATGTGCTGATTTCTATGCTTTGTCTGCTTTTATGAATTAATTTTTTATGGCCTTTTTGTCTTATCGGGCACTGGTGGCCTCTGTAACTTTTTTTGCAGCTGCATGCTCTGAGAAAGCTACCTGGGGAATGCTGCTGTTCCCAGCCGCGTTAACGCTGGCTGATTTCCTGGCTGATTTCCTGGGCGCACTTGATACAAAATGTTAGCTGTATGTATCTTTGAACAATATTATTTAAATAATTTACTATAAACAGGCTGTGGTGTCCATGCACAGTGTACGGATGGAGCGATCGCCAGGGGTGAGTGGCGTTTTGGTGGAGGGGTGGTGATTCCCACTTGTAGTGGAAACTTTTGCTAGTGTTCAGCTGTATGATATGTTTGTAAATGCCGGTGCTGGTGGTACCGTTGTGCGGAGTAGTTTCTCCGTCTGCTAGTACTGTACCATAATTACTAATCAGCCAATTGCATGATTGTTACCGAGCACTTCACTCCTAGTTACCGTGCTTCAACATTAGCCAGAGACAGATTGCAATTTGGTTCACTGCATTGGCATTCAGCTAGAATCTGTACATTCCAGGACCCCTAGCGGTTCCTCAGATGTGTAACTCAAAGTAACAGGGTTGGTATGCACATCCATGTACATGTACATGACTGTGTGCTGGTTTCAAGCAATGTGTACTGCACGTGTGTGTCTTCTATACATCCATGTACATGTACATGTACATGGATGTACATGTACAACACACATACATGTACATGTACATGTATGTGTGTTGGCTGCCAGCAATGTGTACTGCACGTGTGTCTTCTGGACTTCCTCAGTCTTTCACTGTGTTGCACCGGCTGCCGGTAGTTTGTTTCGTGTATGGCTGCGTGTGTTACATGTACCGGTACGGTGTACTCAGTAAATGAGATACTACAAGAAGTATCGTACATTCCCCGTCTGGTGGGTGGGTGCTGCTGTTGTTGCTGGTGCGGGTGCTGCTGGGCATGGCACGAAAGACCGTGTACATAATTGGTGTTGCTCAGCTGTGCAGGGAAGTTGCATGTGTGTGTGTGTGTGTGTGTGTGTGTGTGTGTGTGTGTGTGTGTGTGTGTCCAGACAGTAGTGCCATGCCAGACCTGACAAGGTGTAGACAGGATGTGGTCCTGGTTCGAGGCAGTCAGCCATGCTTGCTTCCATGTAGGTTGACTTGCGCCAGACGTGCGTTGAGCAAGCCACTGCCCGACCTCCATCCCTGTTTGGCTGTAGTACATCGGATAGCCGGTTGAGATAGTAGCAGATTGAAATTTGATGATCAAGTGAGATGTAGCCAGCTTGCTTGAGATACTGGTAACATATACCTTTCAGGATCTATGGTCAAAGCCAATTGGCTTTCTAATGGTTCTTTCAGGAAGCTGTTGGGCTATCGTTAAAATTATTTTCTAATGACATGGTGTGTACTTATCATGACACAGCAATGCCCAGCAACATGATCCCTATGGCCAATTTCTCCTAACGTTATAATATTGGAGAATGGTGCAGCTACAGTTCTGGGAATTCCCATGGCTACCCGTGCCTAACATTCCATTGATTTGTACCCTGCATTCCGCCGCGCTGGCAGTGAGCAAGAGAGCTGTGCACAGGCCTGGCATAGCGCCACTGCTGTGCGTTGTGTGGCAGTTCCTCTTGTCGTTGAGCTTTCGGATGGGACAGCTATAGGTGGAGTGCCTTGTTTGGCCACATTCTCTTTGACTGCAGTGAGACCTCGCTGTATATAACGTTAGGGGCTAACACTGGAGGCTGTGCTCACTGCCCCTGGTCAGTGACACAAAGCTGTACTACCGATACTTGTATCCACCACCACGCCTGCACAGCATGCAGCTGACACCATGCACCTACTGCATGACCTGTGCAGCTGACACCATGCACCTACTGCATGACCTGTGCAGCTGACACCATGCACCTACTGCATGACCTGTGACTGTGTGGACAAGCAGCAGCTGGATGGGTGCTCTTTGCAAGTGGGCCATGATTCTCAATGCATGCTGGCACCGGCAAACAGCTATTGTACAAACACCTGCGTTCATTCCACAAAATAGTATGCATGCCCCATTGCAGTACATGTATATGCCTCGCAATTACACACCGCTTCATTAGTGATTACTGCGAAAGGTGTTTTAGTAAAGGTGTTTATTGGCTGCATGTGCTATACATACCATGGTACAATTAGGGGCAGACCTACCTACCTACCCACCCACTTCTCTCTCTCCTCTCTCTCTCTCTCCTTTCCTCTCTCCTCTCTTTTTCTAAAAAAATTAATGTTGCTGTCTTTTATCATTTCAATTCGGGAAAGAGACAATGATACAACTACCGTGGCACAATGCAATAACAACAGCATCAAGGCAATGAAGATAGCGTACCTCCCAATGCAATGCCGTCTAGACACATGGCTTGCTCTTTTATAACCTTCCTGGTCTCGTGTGACAAAATGGCACAACGCAAATTCCCTGTTTCATATTTCCCTCTCACGAGATTGGCCGTACTAGGGGGAGAGAAGGAAAGAGAGAAAGAGAGAGAGAGAGAGAGAGAGAGAGAGAGAGAGAGAGAGAGAGAGAGAGAGAGAGAGAGAGAGAGAGAGAGAGAGGAGAGGGGGAGAGAGAGAGAGAGAGGGGGGGGGGGGGAGAGAGAGAGAGACAAAGAGACAGAGAGACAGAGACCAGGAGTTGGACAGATGGAGTGATTGAAAGGTAAATGGGGTGTACGACAGAATGAAAGATCACCTGAGTAGGAGAGTATCACTCTTATTGATAGTCTGCTGCTCTTTAGTCTGCTCTTTATCTCACAGCTTATACTGAAGAAGTATCAAGAGTTCAGGGTCTCTTTATAGCATCTGTACAGGATGATAATACTGTGCTGCTTTGATGTGTTCACTACTACTAAAACTCAATCTAACTCTAGCGATGTATTCACAACAGAATAGCAAGTAAAAACTTTGTCTAGCAGATAGAGAGAATAAACTATAATCAAAGGTCAACCGTTTCGAGCTCACACCTTTCTGCTCATCGTTCTTGTGTGCGTGTGTGTGTGTGTGTGAGCACGCATGTGTGCGTGTGTATGTGTGTATGTTTGTGTGCGTGCGTGCGTGTGTGTGTGTGTGTGAGGATGGCGGTTCGATCGCGATTCCTGAGGAATCTACTCATCTACTCTGCCTGACACCGCTATCATCCTGATTGTGGACGGATGTTCAAGGTCAGGATGGTATGGGTCTTCAGAACAATAGAAAAAAAAGAGAGCTATGGATGAATGTCAAGAGTACACCAGCATCCATGGCCATGCATGGCCCCTATTCAAGAAGTGCTGGCGTTCATGTCCGACCAAGTTATCTTGTGTGCTATATCCTATACTTCAAAGTATGTATCACCAGTTAATGCTAGGTTGAAGTCCTGGTATCCCTGTGTGTACCAGTACAACAGGAACAGTCTCTGTTTGTCTGGTCAACCGAGGGGCCAGTTTGTATCTCAAGACCTGCAGGTAACGTTGACTCAAGGCGGAAGAGGTTGTGTACCATAATACCTGTCATCAGCATACAGTGGTTGTTGCTGCTGTTGTGCTTGCTGGTGGTGCTGGTGTTGGTGAGTTGCCAGAAGCAGGTGACCGGCACTTGATATTGCCTTGGCACCTTGGCTGCTTCCCGAAGAATGCTCGCTGCCTCCAGCGCCACCAGCGCCGCCGCCACCAGCTGTCAAATTGCTGGCCTCGCTGCTGTCTTGCTTCATGGTGACAAACACCTCTGGACACTGGTCATCTGCATGTTCTTGGTCAGAGTCTGTGCTTGCCGCGCCATCATCGTCGAGGTGCGCTGAGGCAGGATTGTTTGGATCCCATTTCGGCGACATGCCCTGTCGACGGCAGCGACGCCGCTCTCTGGCTCGGCGGTTCTGAAACCAAGTCGTCACCTGCTTTCTCTTCAGTGCCAGCGCGTTTGCCAGGCGGTTGCGCTCGGTCTTGGTGATATACTTGTTCTCCATGAACTCCTTTTCTAGCTCGGCGCGCTGGTGTTTGTTGAACATATGGCGGTCGCTTCGCAGTAGGTCGGAGTTGTATCGATGCAGCGGTTGCTGCGGGTATGGGTTCACTGGTGTCAGGCCGACTGCCAGTGGATGATTGTTTGAGGGTGACAGGACCAGTGCTGCAAGGCAGACAAGAATTGAAAATCGTACTTTCAGTCAAGTATTGGAATTCTAGAGGTAATCTGAGCTGGAAAGCAAAGACGTTTGGAAAAGAATCATGTTATCATCAGCCATCACACAGGATGCAGAGACTGAGACAACCTATGTTGAACCACCAGTTCAGGCTCTCTCTCTGATGCTCACTCATCATAAAGAGACTTCAATGTACTCATAGTTCGTCAGGGCAGACTACTAATAGAGAGGTTCCGCACTACGTAAAGTTGAGCAACTTTACGTTAGTGGGCGGGAAAAACCCGTGAATTCGCGAGTTTGCACTCCACTTACGGAAAGTTGTCTACGGAGAGTACGAAGATAGGGCTTTGATAACGTAGCTGGTCCGTTAATGGATTGGGTACAAATTTATGACTCTTTCCCCATGTCGATCTGGTCGTACACTGCCGCGTTCGGAGTTGCCAAGGGCAGCTACGTGATTTGAAAACTCCGTATGGCGGAACCCAGATCCGCATGCAGTTTACGTAAGACTTTCCGTAGATCGACTACGTTTTTTACTAACGTAATTACGTTATGCGGAACCTCTCTAATAACAGGAGAACCTGGTAAGGAAGGTTGCTGAGACAAACTTTCACGTTGCCGATATCTGTGACTCAGTTGGGTCGGATCATAGCATATTTAAAACGAACAGAGAGGATGAATTCCAACAGCATGCCCCCCCCCCCCCCCTCCGCGGTGTTGGTTCACAAGAGGTTTGTTTAACTGTAGATGTGCAAATGATTCCCAGAGGGTAAGTATTGGTAATGTCTCCCTCCACTATATGTATACTTGAAATTTTTATTTTCATTGCTATCAGGTTCGGCCTCATTTTCCTCTGTGCTGCGCTGATGAGTTCACAAAGAACGAAACAGCATGCTGTCTGCAGACTGAGTGTATACTTGAAGTATATGCCATACGAGATGCATTGCAGCAAGTAGGGGATGAAACAATTACAGATGTTTTCCATCAGATCACCTATCCTTGTACGAGTAAGGGTTCAATTATCAATTCCATTATAATTTATCGATTGTTCCTGGCTCTTTCACTTTCAGTTCTGCGAGTTTATCTCATTTGGTTATGTCATACTTCAATATACTATGCAGCATGCACGGCGAGATCATCCGTTTCTGCTCGAAAATGCCAACCAATGTGTTAGCTACAGCAATTTCTGTGATGGAAGTGGCACTACGTTATTGCCAACTCCGGACTGATTTCAAGCCAAGAAGAGACAGCGGATAGTAATTAGTAATTTAAAAAACATTAAATAGTGATTGCTGAAATCCTAGTGATTACAAGTACAGTCAAACCTCGTTAGGACGAACTTCAAGGGACCAAACAAGTTTGTTTGTCTTATCCGGAGTTCTTCTTACCCAGATCTGACAAATAAATTGAGATGCATATCATATGGATTGTATTTATGTGAAGGTGCATGCTGTGGCAAATGTGAATTTTTTTCATAACATAACCCAGCAACAGGTAAGTACAATGTGCAATGAATTCATGACAGCATGTCCTCTGCCTTGTAACATGTTTTGCCAGTACAAGAGGCCTCGACTATCGGAACAAAAACTACACCCAGCGTACCCACCATGACCGAAAGTTCGTACTACACGCTGATCTTGTTCAAATCACGCTCGAAATTAGTTTGTCTTCACGAAAGTTCGCCGTGCAGGAGGTCGTCGTAAACGAAAATTTTTGACTTGACATGATGCCTGGCCAACCATAGTATTGGCCCTAGTCGTACTAAAGGAAAGTTTGCCTTATCAGTGTTTGTCCCAAAGAGGTTTGACTGGACATGTTTTGTTGACACGATTGACAACTCCCGGTATAATTGTTTCACGAGGCCCTAGCCGTGAGTTTGAAATGGTTTCTTTCATACTGCCGGTAATTGATGGCTGGCCTGGCAACTTGCCCTGCAGAGTGCATCAGTGGCATGCGTATATCATTTAAGACAGTTCCATGTAATGGATTCAGCTCCGATGCTCTCAACGTGCAACATGCTCACGCAAGCAACATACCTCCATGACTTTGTCCATGCGCTTGTGCCGTCATCTGATATGGAGTTGCACAAATTCCTACAGAGAAGGACACCAAGCAGACTTAGCTGTGATTAGGAGTGTACAGTACAATCTAGTGCTGAGCAACGGGCTGCTGGAGGATGTCCGAGAGAACCCACCAGTTTAGAAACATTCCAATGGGAAGAGGAGGTCTTACATGTACAGGGAAACCTCGTTAGGAAGAACACTGATAAGACAAATGTTTGCTTAAGAAGAACTAGTATTCGTAACTCCATTGAATAAATCACTGTGTATTCACTAGGTATAACATACGGATAAGAAGAACTCCCGTTATTGCGAACTAATATCATCGGTCCCTTGGTGTTCGTCCTAAACAGGTTTGACTGTATGTCATTTTCCAGCATTTTGAGTTATCTGTACCATGACCTTGCCATGACCGAGGGGGGTTCAAAAAGTTTTGACCCTCCGCCATAAAATCACACAATATAGTAGGTATACGAATTACTTTTCTCAAGGTTTGGAGACTCCACTGTAGCCAATATTTGAATCCATACATCCTGTACACACACCTTGTACACGCTCTCTCCAACGGTCTCTAGGCTACACTGCAATTGATATACATTACATTACACCAAATTTTCGGGCAAGGCCCATCATCAGGAATTCCTGATGATGGGCCTTGCCCGAAAATTCGATCTAATGTATATCAATTGCAGTGTAGCCTAGAGACCGTTGGAGAGAGAGAGAGTGTGTGTGTACAAGGTGTGTGTACAAGGTGTGTGTACAGGATGTATGGATACCTTGAATTATGATGTTATTTTTCCACATAATCACCACGAACTGCGATGCACTTTCTCATATCGATGAATCAGCATCTGTATTCCCGTTGCATAGAAGCTCTCGTCTTGTGCGTTGAGGAAGGCAAAAAAAGCCTCTTTCACCTCGTCGTTGTCGCCAAAGCATTCATCTTTACTTAGTCCAGATTGCACCTTTAGAAAGACGAAGTCACTTGGGGGCAGGTCTGGACAGTAGGGTGGATGGGGAAGCTCTGAGAAATCACTATCGGCGACACTGAGCAGCCTCTCAATATGACTTGTGTGTGCTGGTGCAGTGTCGTGCTCTTTCAGCATTCTCGGACCCCAGCGTGCACAGACTTTATTCATGCCCAAATGGTCATGCAAGATTTCTTCCACTGAGCCAACACTGATGCACAATGTGTCAGCCATCTCCAGCACAGTACTTCTCCTGTCTTCTCTCACCAGTGCTTCCAGAGCAGCAACATTCTCCTCCATGACCGAGGTCGATGGTCGCCCCGGACTGGGCTTCATCTCCAAGGCTCCTTTTTCCACATTTGGCCCGGTCTCAACAGCCCATCCTGTCGCTGTTGAGTAACTAGGAGACTCCGATGATTTGCATCAACTTTGACAAGCCTTTCATGAATCTCCTTGGCCCCTGTTCCCTCCAACGTGAGGAATTCTATCACAGCCCGATACTTGATTTTGTCGATTGCAGCTGACACCCTGACCTACTCCACTTTCAACCACTGCTAAACCACAAACCATCCACTCCAATCACCAAGATTTTCACCAGGTGCTCAGTTGAAGGGTACTTTGTATGGTGAAGGTCAGTTGGTTGATCTGCTGAGCAGCCGTTCCCCACTAATACCAGCGTGAAGTTTGCACTAAATTTGGTGACATCATGATGATGTCATTTCCTTGCCCAGACCAGGCCGGATTTGTGACGTCAGAGAGATAGACTTTGTATAGGAGTAGATGGGGAAATTTCTGTATTTCGTCTCTCCATTGTCCCAAAGAAGTCGGATCTTCTTCAACCTTTGGTATGGGACAAATGGCACCCTACCGGTATCCCGCCGGACTGGAAAACATCTAGTATGAAATGCATTGTTGCAGAGAAACAAGAAAGAAATAATTGGTTTTTCCCCATCTACTCCCATAATCTCTCTGACGTCACAAATCCGGCCTGGTCTGGGCAAGTTAATGACATCACCATGATGTCACCAAATTTAGTGCAAACTTCAAGCTGGTACAGTCAGACCTCGCATAACCGCACACATCCGTTTTCCAGAAAAATATCCGGATAGGCGAGGGAACCGGATAATCGGACACGCATACTGTTTGTGTACATGGCATATGCTGTAAATCGGTAACCAACGATTTTCTTCCGGATGGCGAGGGATCCGGATAAACGAGGACCGGATAAGTGAGGTCTGACTGCACATGTATAACTCTGGAACAGCTGCTCAGATCAACCTGGGACCTTCACCATTGAAATCAGTGTGTTTTTCGCTACAGGTTGTGAAGTTTTCATTTTAGGGTGAACTTCCCCTTCAAGGCTCAAAACGTTTCAAACCCCCTCGTATAATCCATCAGATCACTGTGCAAAAGGCCTCAGTCAAAATCCTCATCTATCACAGTGCTATGGGCGTTTGAATAAGTGTAGTTACATCTCTTTACCAGTACATGTATATGGAAAACTAAACTTTCAAGCCCACAACAACCATCCACCCCATACGCCGGCCCAATGTCACCAGCTCCGTCAGCACCTGCACCCCCGCCCACCGGCTTCAGTCAAACTCAGACGTACAACACCACTGGCACTGGCGGCGAGGTCCCCGCATCCGAAAGCACGCCATGGCAACCAATCATGGGCAGCAGCCACAACCATCATGGCCGAGCTGCAGGCTTGTCACTGGGTATTTACATTGCAATGGGCAACGATAGCACCGACGGGCCCAAGCCGCCGCCTATGCAGCTGCCATCCAGCCTTGCCGAGGACAGTGGTGTGAATTTAGAAGACAGTGAGTTCAGTCGGCAACACAAGCCATACGGGGATAGCTGGCGATAGCACAAGCAGAAGTGGTGTTGCCCCATCCTCTTCATTGTTGCTCTCCGCCGCCCAAGTGCACATGCAGCGAAGCAAGAAGACGCCACACAGAGTCAAAAGTACACCGAAGAGGAAACTGGTTCCGGTCACTCCAGCCAATGCATTTTTCTCAACGCTGCGCAAAACTACATAAGCCCCTTTTCAGATCTGGAGGCTCTTATAAGAATGAAGACACAGGAATCTCATAAGAAATAGGAACATCACCGACACTAGCCTGAAAGTGAGACCCCTGTTCTTCAGTGCTTAACTAGCCTGAAAGTGAGACCCCTGTTCTTCAGCGCTTAGTCATACTGACTTTATAGCAGTAGTGGCTGAGTATGTGAGTATGTGAGTGTGTGAGTATGTGAGTATGTGAGTATGTGAGTGTGTGAGTGTGTGCTCTCAGAGCTGAGCAGTGGAGAAAGCAGTGTCATGTCATTAGGCTCAGCACAACCGGCAGCCTGGCACTGTGCATTGCTCGAGCGTCCATGCAATTCGTGGGCAGCGTGTATTGGAACAGGCTTCCGGCAAATATTCGTTGCCATGAAGATATTCTGGGTTTCAAAGCCCTGCTGTGCCCAGATGTTCTTGACACGCTTTCTCTTCGTCAGACATGTGCATTTTGATCTTTTGGTTTGGTCTCTAATCGACAAACTGACTTTTCTCCTCAAATACCTCAACCTCTCTATTTCTATTTCAAACATCTGCTTCGTTTATTCCTTACTCTTTTCTTTCCGCTGGCTATCTTTTTCTTTTCTTTCCTTTGTCATTTAATCACTGTCACTCACATACAAATACCGTCATAAAATATAAAACACAAGATTTTCTCATCTTTTTCTATTTCTTGTTTTTCATTAGCTTTAGCATGTTCATTCACATTCTTCATCATTTGTGAGAACTAGACCTGGTCTAGTGGGAAGGCATTCTACTGCCTGTAATTCTGGTGAAGTAAAATAAAGTAACAAGAACAACAACACTGCTGTCGACTAGAGCACTGTGATGCACGACTTTGCTTGCAATGCACTTTCTCCATCGGCCGGCATATCTTCTCCCGTGAGGTGAGACGTCTTGTGACATGGCTTTTTCCTGAGCCTGAGCCAGGCTGGGCAGCTATCATGCTGGGGCAAGTGGTGCCGAATCTTCTCTGCCACCTGAACTGCCGCAAGAAGCGCTTCTGAAGTTCTGGTCTTCAGTGATAGTCAGTGATACAGGCATAGCAGGAATAGCTAGCGATAATGCACTGCTTGATGTGACTGGCACTATGCACAATGGCCTAGCATTGCATACTGAAAAGGTACTGCTGGTATCTAGTTGTACATTTCACCAAGGCTGAGTGTGCAGCAAGGTTGCTTTCCAACAACATCACGAAAACAGTATGATATTCATGATCGCCTTTGTCAATTTCGATCCGTAGTGACAATCTCACAAGATCCTTGTGTGAAACTGTCTCCATTTCTATTCACAGTAAAACCTGGTTAGGACGAACACCAAAGCCGCGACCGATGGTATTTCTTCGCAATGATGGGAGTTCTTCTTATCGATATGTTTTACCCAGTGAATCCACAGTTATTATCCAATATTTATGAATTCTAGTTCTTCTAAAGCGAATTTTTTTCTTATCAGTGTTAACGTTTCACGTATATGAGCATCAGAGCATTAGTCTTGCAGCAAACACAAGGTCTGGTGAATTTGATCACATCACAAGTCAACGGTATTACTATGCTTGCTTACCTGGACCGGAGTTAGGTGATGCGGCTATGTGATGCATTGCGTAATGGCTACCAGCAACAGTCGGTGTAGGAGCAGCTGGACGACCAACGTGATGAAGTGGAGTGCCGGCAGGAGCAGCAGCTGTCGGCGTGGCAAACATGGGCGACATATCGGACGGCCGTTGGCTCAGGGTCAGTCCGGTGGCCGGGTGCCCTCCCAGCTGCAGCGTGTGTTGTTCTCTCATGCCGGCTGCTTGGTGGTGTTGGTGTTGATGCTGCTGCTGCTGCTGCTGCTGCTGCTGGTGCTGCTGATCGTGGCCTGCTAATGGTCTGTCTCTGACTTGATAATAGTGTTGCGGTAAGAATTGCCCTTGCTGTGTTGGTGTGAGTTGCTGCATGGGAGATTGCGCTATGCCTCCAGCCGGTAGCATTGTTTGCTGTGGCGATGGCATGTCCACCGGACTCATCATTGCCGACGAGTGCTGTGCCACATGGTGGCCTGGACCTTTGTACGTTGTGGGTAGCGGGCGCAGCGGTGGAGGCTGACCAATGTACCTGTCCCCTGCTCCAACTGCACTACCACTGCCTCTGCCTGGGTCACCCACTCCCCCTCCGCCATCATGATCAGGCACGGGCACTGGTCTGGGTGATGGTAGTGCACCACCGCCGCCGGCGGTCATATGACCAGTCACAGGAGACAAGGGATTGGACAGCTGCTGCTGCGTTGGCGTCCCCTGTGCTTGCGATGGCGGCGTGTGTGCCATGTGTGCCTGTGCACCTTCCACCACGGGCGAGCCGAGCAAGTCCTTGATGTTGAAACCCTGGCTACGCTGCTGCTGCTGCTGTTGTTGATTGTGATTAGCAGGAGCAGCAGGACTTGCGGAGGCATCCGATGTACCAGCATTACCGGCTGCGGTGGGTGCATTGACCGTACTGGGATAGGATAAGCTTGGTAAGGAGTACGCTCCCACTCCCATCATATTCACCGTTTGTGGCGATGGGTTGGAATGCAGAGGAAGGACAATGTGCTGTTGCTGCTGTTGCTGACCTGTACCTGCTGATGCTGCTGCCTGGTGTGCTCCATGTCCTGCACCAACTGCCTCAACACCAGCCGCACCGCCACAGCTGGGCTGTTGCCAGGCCGACGCTTGTGTAAAGGTCACTAGACGAGGTGGTGTGATTGAACTGCTCATGTTATGCTGCTGCTGCTGCTGCTGCTGCTGTTGTTGTTGTTGTTGTTGTTGTTGTTGTTGTTGTTGTTGTTGTTGTTGTTGTTGTTGTTGTAGATGTTGCGGGGGTTGCGGTTGGTAGTGTTGATGATGCTGTAGTAGTGGTGCAGGCTGTGCAGGGCGATGGCTGCCTGGGCTAGGGGTGACTGCAGTGGCATTGGCTGCCGTGGTTTGTAGGTAGGTTTCTACTAGGGCCATGGTCTGTATGGGTAGGTGGCCTGGGAGCGAGTGTGACATGATACCCCCCAGCACAGTGCCAGTAGTCTGTGAGTGTGAGTATGCACTGGCTTTACACTAGCTTTGCACTGGCTTTGCACTGGCTTTACACTAGCTTTGCACGCAGGACTGACTACTCTTACTGTTGTGGTGGCTGTCTGTGCCTGTGGTGGTGTCTGTTACTGTAGTTGTATGCTCAGTACTAAGGCTGGTAGTGGCAGTGGTAGTGAAGGTGTTCCGAACTTTTGACTACTGGTTCTGACTGTGGTATATTTTGTACTGTACCTTGGACTCAGCCGCTGCCGACTTGGCTGGCTTTCCGCACTCAGTCTTGGCTTTCCTGCGTAGATCATCCAGCACATGTGGGGAGTAGTCCTGGAGATGCTGCCATGGTGCTGAGTATTGTAGTGGCAGGGGGATGATGGGCCAATGAGGATGGCGGGAGAGCGGGAGTCAGCACAAGGATGTCCGTACTACGTACTGTGCGCAAACTGCACGGCATCAGTTAGCTCTCCACGCGACGGCACCCAGCTATCCTCTCACTAAGACACTTCGGATTATCTAGTAGAAACCAGAATGGAAATAATTGCAGACAAGAAACAGCAAGAAAATCTCAAGAGAAGGTTGATGGCCAGGACAAAGCATTATCAGGTGCGTTTGCCCCGAGGGAAGAAAGCAGTTAGAAACCCTCTTCAAACCCCTTCCTCCTTTCACTACATAGGCCCAATCAATCCACCGGTCCACAGCAACTTTATTGGCCGGCGATTGGTCGCACTTACTTTTATCGTGGCTCTGACAGGCTGCCGGGCAAGGCTGCAGGTAGTGGGACTTGGTTACTCGTCGCCCGAAACCGCCTTTCCACTGATGCCTGGACGGAGAAGTTTTTTTGTTGAAAAGCTCACAGGCTGCAGGGCTCCCTCGGCGTGATTAGTGCAGTCCCGGAGACGACCCTCCACTCTGCAGCTCCACGGAATGCACACCGGTAGCAGGGGCTGCCCTACCATCAATAGCGCCGTCTATGAAGATAGTTGGCGAAGGTGCGCGCCATCAGTTCTCTCCCACTTCGATACTGCTGCATCCATTACGAGCCACTCAAGATTCAGGAGAGGGTCGTTAGCTCTAACTCTTCACTGATCCAAGCACAAGTAGATTCCTTGTCAGAGCTTTCTGAAGAGGGGCCTTCTTTTTTTCTGAAGAGCCTTCAGCTAGTTCTCACGGCTATCGATCATGTCACACATGTACTCGATCGCGTATCATCATAACCGCCCCCTGATTCTTTGGACATGTACTGATACCCTCTACAGCGCAGGCCAGATACTGATTTGGTGATGAGTCTGTAACTGTGGCTGTGGCATTCACTGACTGTGCTGAAGTGCCAAAACACCTCACTGTCATCTGATTCCTTTGCTTTGGACCTTTTGTAAAGGAACTCGCGGAAGTCGTGGCGTCGTGCTCGCTCATTCACACTGAAAGTCTGAAACACTACACAGGATAACTAAACGGAGCGCTTTCTGCTGACTCTGTACTCTGCTGTTCTGTGGAAGAGGATCCACCTACTGCGGACTGGAGAAAGCACGTGTTCTCAGCCACTAACTTGACTTTCCTTCTTCCCCACAACTAAAAATGTTCAGTTTCGTTGCAAGAAGTACTAGTATACCTGCAAATAGACAAATCCTTGCCTCTGCAAATCGGATGGTGCTTTTTTCTTGTCAGCGGGCCTGTCTCGTTCGGTCAATTTTCCAACAGCTCTACTCTAATAGTCTCTATGCCGCTTGACTGGCGATGGTCGTCTACCAAGGATCAGATTTGTTGCAAAGATTCTCACAAGCAGATGGATTTAGACAATGTTCAAAAACCCTATAGCATGGGCAGCAGACTCCGGTCTTGCTCTCGACACGGTGTCGTGTATTTGCTGTTGAGTTTCTTGCTCGCACTTTCCGTTCCACGTCTCGTCACCTTTCCAAAAACTTCGTTCCTGCACCCTGGCCTGGGTCGTGTTGTCGTGTCTACCGCTGTTTTCGACGGTGCATGCATGTACTGATCACACATACACGGGCCGGGAGAATGAGGCCCCGTGGTTAGGACCTGCGGGTGCCATTATGCAGCATCAGCCATACTCATCCACAGTAGCAAACAAGACTGTAAGAACAGCGAGCGCCTGTGCCGGGTCTAGTTGCACCTTCCTGCTGCAGCCGAGTATGGGAGGTTCTCTATTGTCATTACGACCAACTGGTGATGGTATTTCGCGTCGAACCTAGTATTTCTCTTCCTCCCATGCGGGCGTGTATGTTTCCCCCTGCCGGCGCATTGACACGTGATGAGTAACGCATGCTGTGTAACACGGCGTTACCTATCATGGAAGAAGTATTTTACTCGGTTCACCCAGCTCTACAAGCACCATGAATCTCGCACCATATCCGCGTGTACATTTTGTCCGTTGATCTGCAGACTACTGGTACTACCACCCAGCAGCTGGATCAGAAAAAAATGATCGACAGGAAGCGAGCGTGGACGATGCGTGCGTACATCTTCGTGCGCATGGTGTCTTCTGCAGATCTCCTCGTTCAACGGAGCACTTCCGAGGTGACAATCGAAGCGAGTTGATTTCTGCTCTATTTGCCGTATGACGGTGTCTAGGAATGTTTGGTTATGTCCAGCATAGACCTAGTTTCTTGGCGTGGCTAAGTTTAGAGTGGCAAGTGTTGTAAGTATGCTTGACGACAATCGAATGCCTTGTTCAGAGCTCCAAATTGTCTTATTCACAAGCTAATTTCTAGCTTCCTTTCTTTGTCTGCTAAGAAAGACCCGAGTCGCCCTGTTACACAAGTGGAGATGAGCCGGGAACACAATACTAGATATTCTCGAGGGCACGTGTTTACAGTCACGGGATCTTGTAGCGACAAGCTGAGCTGATTCACTACAACGTTACAGGTAATACAGTTGTTCTACTTCTTATCGCTACCTTTCGTATCTACCTTGGCTAAAGTGATTTCACAAGGTTCGGGATCAATACAGGGCCAATGCATGTAATCGTGCTCGCGAGGCAGGTAGAAGTGCTGGACAACGGCCCGGGGGCATGCAGTGATATAGAATTTGTTGAGAATTTCATGTTTTGATGGCTTCTTGTCATGCTGTACCATGGACCCTTTGCAGCAAGGCCGTGTTGTTTCCTCCTCGAGTTGCGGCCATAAAAACAAGACATTGGTGTCGGGTAACACCACATCGCACTCGAATTTCCCTTCATTCCTGTTGTCCATCTCCATCTCTGGAACAGTGAAAGGTGAGTAAAGACTTTTAGCGCGTACAGCTGTATACGGATAATGGCAATGACTTGTGAAGAGTAAAATCAAGGATGCCGGGTTGTGTTGGCATTCACTGATTCAGCAGAATATCCAGACTGCGTAACGGGTGCGGTACTCATCATGGTGACATACATAACCCCGTGGTTACCTAAGTATTAGTACTAGTAGATCTACATGTAGTTCACAATGGCAGGAACTTTGTTCTGTTGTAACTCTGAGTTTCATGGCAATACGGCCCATCATCAGACAACAATACAATCATACTAGTGGATGCTGATTAGGCCAAGGGTGCTTGGGTGCTTGGCATGTTAGCCCATTGCATGTTATGTTGGTGACATGCATGCATGCATGCACATAGACATGGATTGCACAAGCATGGTAGATTCACACCACTGTACTGGCACTGTCCGTCCACATACACATACATGTACGTGAGTGTTACAGATTTACAGCAGCACATCGTTATCAATACGGAGGATTAGCAAGACGAAATTCACGTTCGCGTTCGCTCTCCAAGGAAAGTCGAACTCAGTGACGGAATTCGCGTTATGAGAAGGACTAGCAAACAGAATTCGCACATGCATGACGTTGACACGACGTACATTGTGTACAGACAGTACAGCGTGGTAAATTTATGACTGTCCTGACACGAATCCGCGATTCGTGTTCTGACTACTTTTCCGAACGAAAAATGCGAATGTTCGCAATCCAGTTCGCGAACTGAGAAATGTTTGCAAACGCGAACGCGAATTTCGTCTTGCTAATCCTCCGTATAAATATTATCATTGCTCACCACTCCAAAACTGACTTCAATTCAGTCATAAGACACAGAGATTGGCCATGAATGATTACTTAGTACCTGGCACAGTGCCCCTGCCCCCCCCCCCCCCAACAGTTACTGTCTTTAATACTCTTAGTAAACTAAAGTAACTTTGTTACTTTTCAATACTGTAAGACATGTTATTATAACGAGTCGCAAATTTAACGATTGTCCAAAATTCATAGGTTAACGAGAAGATATGTTAACGATCTTGCAGTATTCTGCCATATCCACACACAGCATATATGAAGCAGTACGGCCTCAACGGATCTTATTATAACGAAGAAATGTCATCCATTAAAACGTTAGATTTGCTTCCTCGTTATATACATGTCTTACAGTAGTCAGTTTGAGTGGGAACACAAGTCATACATGTGTCATTGCAGTTGTAATAGTGCAAGATCCCTTTCAAGGTCATCACAGGAACCTTTCAAGGTCATCATCCCCATGTAACTAACGGTGTGTTACTTTGTTCTGTGTCAAGTGTCTGCCAGCATCCTGACACTTGACACAGTCCTGCATTTGCTTTTAGGAAGAGTTCAACTGTGCATGGCTGCTGCATGCACTGGACTTTCCACTGCAAACACCTGTACTGTAGTGTAGTGCTGGCAGGATACTTACATTATTGTACTCTGCACTGTGACCAACTAATCACCGACTCAGTCAAGTACACAAGTCATTGTAAGTATTAAACTAGTTAGAAAATTCACACTTAAACTCTTTGCACACTCAATGACATGTGTACACTCCGTCCGCCAAAGCGTGGATCTACAGCCAGTACAGGGGGGGGGGGGGGATCCTACATACACACTGCACTCAATTATGTGTCTAGAAAACTTTAGATTTATTTCCAAGGCACAGAGTACATTATTATTATTATTATTATTATTGCAGCATCGGTGGTTCTTCAATGTGCAAGTATGTCCAATGATCTAGTGCACTTGGCCCTGTCTACCTTGCTTCATCTTCTGCAAAGTGGGATATACTTTAACGATCAGCGGCCGAAATAGCCACCCAATGAAATGGATGGAGTTGTGTACGCGTGTTTTTTTTGTCCTGCACAATCGTGACATGTTTTCTTTCAGACCTTGTGGCTATTTCTGCCTTTATGATCGACCTGCATTGCAATAGTCTTTTGGTTTTGGCACTGGCACCCCTGTGATGGGCCGGTGACTATAGCTGGGTGATGCATAAAGAAACGTTGTGCTTCCACACCCCTGTAGTCTTGTAGACTCTGCAGCGGACAAGGCAGCTCAGGGTGTGAGAGAACTGTGACCCTGATGGTGATGATGCCTGGGATCTGCAAGCCAATCATCCCTGTTCAGCTGCACCCCCACAGCTGTGGCACTTGTAGAACTAGGTACACTGGAAGGGAGATGAACAAATCGCCACTCCTTGGGGCACTTGGAGCACTTGAACATTAACTTGCCATCAACATTCTAGATTTTAGTGCTTTCCATGTTGACATGCTGGGATCCTGCTGATATTTCAATGTACGTTGTTCACGAAATCATACATCCATGACGGTACCCTCATGGTAGCATGTATCATGCCTTTCATGTTCCAACCAGTATGGTGCAGTGTAACACAATTCTTGGCGGTAGCTATGGTCCTTTGCCGATCCTGCGTCGTAACCTGGGCAGGAGCAATATCCTACTACGTGGGAAAGAATTTGCTAGACAGACACGGGATGGATCATGGAGGGAGTCTGATACCGAATACGTGCAGGCATGGACTACACATGTGAACTGAAGTGCTATAATTATAAAGTACTTGTATTACAATTATGTCATGTACAAGTGTTTGGTGTTCTTGTACAGTCCTGAAGGAACCATGGCCCATTGGCTCTGGTGGGCAATCTGGCACTGAGGCTGAGTCTAATGCTATAGCAGATCTAGCTAGCCAGAGTAGTCATGTATGTGAGTGGATATTGAGTGAGCAGCAAAGATTCACCAGTTATTGATGTTATTTCAACTCTGACTCTGGGCAAGACTACGTGTAGCCGCCATGACCTGCAACAGGCTACATACCCAAGCTGGTACATGTACATGTACATGTAGCTCCTCTGCATCTGGCTTGGTATCTGGCTTGGAATCTGGCTCTGTGGCGTGTTGATTTGGTCTGCCGTTACGTTGTGGCTAAGATTGATTCAGCTCTCCCAGACTTGACTTACAGTTGGCTTGGTGGTTGGGGGATACTTCAATCATCATGGGCTGTTTGTGGTGTTTGTCTGGCAGGGAAGAAGGTGAAGCATAGTTATGTGAAGGATGAAGCTGAAGCGGGAATGCACCACCCTGAGGATGAAACTGTCAAATGAGTCAATACCGTCAATCTCAGGGGTCATGGATTGTTGGCGGCTTGGAATCAACCCTGCATTGATCACACTGGCAGACTGTCCAGTACAGCCCTGCAATACGTGTTCCTTCATCAGCTTGTGCGAGGGTGAGGAATCGTGCAGCAGAGGTTCCAGGTACTGTGTATATGCGTCCTGCAGTTTACCTAACCATTCTAGTAAGCCGGGCTTCATCTGATGGTGCTTCATCAGCAGACTTGAAGCATCAAACGGTGGAGCATTTCACACAATCAGACCGAGGTACACGTTATTGCATGAGCCTCTCCTTACATGATGGCAACAATTTAATTTCATTACTTACATGCCCAACCACATGTATGGATTCCACACATTGCCAAAATCACAATGGCTTCCAAGTTTCAAGTCATGCCAATGGTAACATGACAGCCTGATTGTCTGTGGACTGAGTACTAGTATTGAAAACTAGCCAGCACAGCTATGAAGTAGCACTCATATCTGGGCAATTTCGCGCTGTAAACCACTTTAAGTCTTTGCTTTGCTACCGATCGCCCCATCTCTGTGTATGGAAGACGAAAGATGCTCCGCCGGCTTCAGATGCATTGGTTGTGCAGAGCAACATTAATCACTTTACATGTAGTTATGCACATGTGACTGTTATTCATCAGGCTGTGGCAGCATAATCCCTGTAGCTGTGTACATGTGACTGGTATTCATCAGGCTGTGGCAGCATAATCCCTTCTACAGGAGGATACAATCAAACTAATCTGTTACTTGGCTGAGCTAGGAAGGTGTCAAGTGGAGTGTAATGAACCCAGTGAAGGACCTGGCAAGTGGGATGCCCAATCAGCTTAATCAGCGGCAAAGTAGCCCGCAGTGTTGCCCCTTCAGTGCTGCTTCAGAGGCCGCAATGTCTAATAATGATCACTGTGGCTGATGTCCCAGCACAGCAGCTCCAACTGTTTAGTACATGTCCAGCTAGTTTATTCACAAAGCCAATTGCTGAAAGCCATGAAGCAAGAACCAAAGCCATAGTACTAGTGCTAGTACTGTAGTAGGTTTGGCAAGTTGTTTAATAGGTAGTTTTGCAACAATGTCTTCATTCCAGACTAGTGGAAACATGTGTTCCCTGCTGCCCTTGGATGGGTTTTTGGACTGTGCATAATTACATTTGAGATGTAAATGGAAATGCCAAGCTACTTTTGACTCACAGGTCGGATCTTTTTGTCCACAACTGGCCATAGTGTACGTGTACATCCCACAGTGTACGTGTACATCCCATAGTGTACGTGTACATCCCACAGTGTACGTGTTATACAGGGTACTTTATACTAGCAAGTAGCAACCAACTATTAGTTATTTTTATAGGAACTAGCAACCAAGTTTCCTATAAGATTTTCCCCGAATTATCACCAAGTCGCTACCACTATCTTTGGTACTTCACCGGGCACTGAACGGTTTCATGTACTGATGCTGATGCTGGCGCTCACAGCTGCTGTGGTTGAAACGTCACTCCTAGCTGGCTGGCTTGGGAATGCGGAATAGGTGTGTGAGGGTTAAGCTGACCAGGTGGCCCCTGTCCTGATATCATCACTAAATCATCCCATAATTGGTGACAGGTACCTTATGGCGTGTCTCTGGACTCCTGATTTCGACAGTAAACATTCTGCACTTTCAAGGCTCTTCTCTCTCTTTAGCTTAGAGTAGGACAAAGACTTTAAGTGCTTGCTCAGCAGCAGAACACATGGCCATTCAATTGTCACGTGTCATTCCATCTTATGGGGCTTCTTATGATAATGCTGTCTGGCAGCCACATTGTCACCATGCATATGTATATGTACATTAGAATAGGCTACTACACCGTCTGGGTACCGATCATAATATTATGTCTCACCTAATCAGAATAATGCCACTAACTAATGGTACCGCTCACAGTTTTATTGCTATTTAGAGTACCTCATATGCCAGCATGGATTTCATCCAGTTCAAGTTTTCCCAGTAGCTCTTTTTAAAAGCAGCAGCATCACCACCGCCGCTGCCACCGTCACCACCAGCACCCAATGTTGGAGAACGTGCCTCCCAGTAGCCCAAGGAGATACTCACACCGTTGAATACTCTGACTCTGATCACCTTGGCAGTACAGAGAAACCTGTCTAAGACGACTGCTCAAGCCTGAGGAACCTTCAAGGTGTGGTCTCTGTTACCAGGTGGTCTCATTATCCGGGTCAATTGACTGGAAATCGCATCCCTTGGTTCTGGTTCCAGTGGTCTTCTAGGACAGGTGGTCGCCTTATCCGAGTGGTCGCCTTGACAGGTGGTTTACTGTACATGTTGTACGTGTACACACAAAAGGCACAAACTGAGGAGGGTTACAGAGTTCATCGTGGCAACTCAGAGTTTCTTGCACTATGCAATCATCAGGCGACTTATGAAATGTTCAGTGGGACTTGGCCAATATAAAAAGCATAGTTCGATGATAGCTAGTGGGTATTGGATTCTGCACGGAAAAATATTGCCATGATGGCTGTGTGGATGGCCACTTGGGTGAGGGAGCTATAAGCGCAGAAAGTGTACAGTCATGTAGATTGTGAATTCAATAAGAAGTGGAAGGTGTGAATTTGTAAGCAGCAGCCAGGGAGTGAAGGTAATCCTTCAAAACTGTTTTAAGTGTTATTGCCAGTATTGGTGATGCGGAGGGCTCTAGGCTCACGCGGGGGTGCGCACTTCATATCATGTCACAATATGTTGCTTTTGCAAGTGCATGCAAGTGTGTATGTACATGTACATGATTGTATGTGTGTGTGTGTGCATAGTGTGTGTATGTCTGCTCTCTCTCTCCCTCCCTCGCTCACTCTCTCTCCCTCGCTCTCTCTCTCTCTCTCGCTCTCTCTCTCTCTCTCCCTCGCTCTCTCTCTCCCTCGCTCACTCTCTCTCCCTCGCTCACTCTCTCTCCCTCGCTCACTCTCTCTCCCTCGCTCTCTCTCTCTCTCTCTCTCTCTCTCCCTCGCTCTCTCCCTCCCTCTCCCCCCCCCTCTCTCTCTCTCTCTCTCTCTCTCTCTCTCTCTCTCTCTCTCTCTCTCTCTCTCTCTCTCTCTCTCCATCCCCTACCCACCATTGGTGCGCCGGTCTAGATGTCCATGAAGTCGAGACCCTAGGTCGGCGGAGCTCCCTAAACCTCACCACCACTGGCACGATTCAGGTTGTGCGTGCTTCCCCTAGCTGCATTTTGGCATTTAAGTGGTCTTCGTAAAAAATAAAATAAAAAAGCACCAGCACATGATGCACCCGTGACCAGACATGCATGCAGGACGAACCCATGCAACCACTCACCCCACCATTGTCAAACTGGCTACTGTAGTTGCTCACAAAAGTGTAGTCAGCGAGTGTGTCAGAACTACTAGTAGGCTAGTACGGTTGTAGAGAGAAGAAGCTATTTAGAAAAACCTGATCAAAACTGAGAAGAAAAGAAAAAAGTCTACAGCACGAGGTATTCCCAGGCGGTCACCCATCCAAGTACTAACCTCGCCCGACGTTGCTTGACTTCGGTGATCGGACGAGAACCGGTATTTTCAACGTGGTATGGCCGTAGACATCCTTCTCGAGTAGACGATTCCTCTTATAACATAATGTGACGGTCTTATACATGTACAAGATTCGTAGTCACTGCATGTTCACTCCCTCCTTGTCCATGGCCGCTATCACAAGCTTCTCAGCTTTCAAACTGGATTCTAGTCAGTGCAGGATTAAAGTGAAATGCAATGATTCCCCATGAAAATGGCTGATGGGCAAACTCTCCCCCCCCCCCCCCCCCAGGCTCCGGCGGATTATGCTCGCGAAATCATGGAATTGTGCTTTCATGGATCCTCGCATTATGCTCCCAAAAATCCTCGTATTATGCTTTGGCACGCGGGGATACATATTCACTTTGTTGTACTTATGGAGCCTCAGAGTTCGGAAAATTGTGCGTTTTTCGTACTTGCAAGTGTCCAGAAGTACATGTACAACAAAATACATGAGTATCCCCATTACAAGGTGTCCATGCATGCCAGAGATCAACATGGAAAAGAAAGAAAAACATTACTTCTTCTATTCATTAGTTGACTTCTTTTGCAATAAATATTTTTTCATGGCCAAATTTATAGTTTGAGTTACCTTTGAAAATTTTCATGTTCAACTGTCTTCCTAATCGTCGTACTCGTCCAACCGATGCCAACCTCACCCTGTGAATAATCAGCTCATCTCTCGCGTACCTCCACCTCTCCTTCCATCGTGACCGAACACCAACAGTTACTACATGTATACCTCATTTTTTTTAATTATTAGAGCAAAATCCATAGCCTACACAGTCACGGCTAGCTGCTAAAATCCAGAGGTCAGGACTTCGTATCAGGAATAATGTACATGTACGCAGAGTCAGTTTGTGGACTACCCGTCACTTGCACTATCTCGTCCACCCCGGGATACTTCATAAAGGCTGATTCACTCGCATCTTTTGCTACATGTACTGTATCAGTGTGAGAAAGAACTTTGAAGAAGACGAGTTCGAGCATACAATAATGTATTGCCATGATTTCTACCCTGCTTTTCACTGAAAACACTATCTGCATGACCTCCGAACCCTTTACCATGGAGCTCACCAGCACTGATCAGGTGCATTGTACACTATTGTGTAGGCTACACCCTAGAACTGTGGTACAATCATGTAGTTATGCTCCTACCTACGGAAGGATGCCAAAACAATTATGCTCCAAATTTTCAACCACCAAACTATGCCAATAATTATGCCGGCATAATCCGCCAGTGCCTACCCCCCCCCCCCCTTCTGGATGGGATGCCTGGGGAGGGGAGGGGCAAAGCCTGCCCAAAGCACCAGCACATCATGCACCCGAAAGTCAAAGCTTGATGAACTCGTACATGCAGCAAAGTGCTCCTCACTGTCACCTGATGTCATTGCTGTAGCGGAGACAAAATCATCAACCGCATAGGTCACTGACAGTGAGGCCTGTCTGTCCGGATACGCTCCCCCATTCGACATAACAGAAACGCTCATAGAGGCGGAGTTGCCATTTGGGTGAAATCAAACATGGCCTTTCAGCACCTGGACCGGTTCAGCACGGAACATCACGAAGTGATATGGATATCTGTATCAACAGCTAGCCGGTCCAAGGTTGTTATCTGTGCACTCTACCGGTCAGGCTCCACAGCCGGGACAGACACCGAGCTGATTGAATACCTTGATACCCACCTAGATGAGGCCCGCAGCCACGGTGATTATTATTATCCTCGCAGGGGACTTCAATGTTCACAATGCAGCATGGCTGGGGAGCACCAAGACTACCTCGGCAGGGGAAGCATCCAAGGAAATCTGCTACACGTATGTTCATGGCCTGGAGCAACATGTCAACATCCCCACACGTGGAG